CAGGTCAGGCTGCGGTGGCCGGGAGCGGCCACTGCACTCCAGTCTAGGCGACAGTGAGACTCCAACTCAAAAAAAACCCAAAACAAAACAGCTGCAGTACAGGGAGGAAACAAAAAGGTTGATGGCTTGGGTGGTAAAGAAGAGCTGCCGTGAACCCTGACTTGAGACACTGGTGGGAATGCTGCCGTGAATGGGAAAAGTGGGAGGGTATGATAACAAATACAGTAAACTGTTTACTTTTTGTTCCGTGCCCAGCACTGCTGTAATTGTTTTACCTGTATTAACACATGTAAATGGCAAAAAAAGAAAAAGAAAGCATAATACCTCCTAAATACAAATGAGGAAACTGAGGCGCAAAGCTATTGAGTAACCTACCCAAAGTCCGTCCCATGGCTAGCAAGAGACAGAAGTGGTTTGAATCCAGGCAGTTTGGTCCTCAAGTACTGACCTGTACTGCCCAAGAGTGACCAGAAAAGACAGGGAAGGACAGAAATGTGCCATGGGTACCTCTAAGTGCCACAGGGATCTACAGAGGGCAAATGGAAAGGAGACAGTAATGCACAGACTTGAAGTTCATAGGAAAATCAAGGTTGAGGAGATCTGAAAATGGTGAACTGCCTGAGAAGAAATTTCACTTAGTGGAAACCATATTCATTGATAGAATAAAGAAGTAAAACTAGAGGAAATTAGACTGGGAAGGAAAAAACTGGCATATAACTAACATCAACCACTATATATTTTCTTCAAGGACTACAGCCAAGAAATATTTTAATAAATCCTCCTAGTGGAGCTTTAAATTTATAGTATATAAAATATGTCATAGCATATCAAGGAGTTTTCCCAGACTTTAAATGAGAAGCAAGAGGTTTCCATGGACTTTTCAAAAACTGCTGAACACAAGGACAATGTCTACGTAACACAATTACAACTGGAAAGTCCTTACCATAAAACTAATACATACATGGATCCAGCATGCCTAGACTCTGTTGCTAATTATAGAAAGTACCATATTTATGAAATGAATAATAACAAAGCAACTATTTATTCAGAAGTCTTTATTTGAAATCATTTTGAAGAGAGTGCTAGACTGCATCAACAAGATGGAATTTTAAGACAAAGAGATTTGTATTTCAGTAATCTGTTGTTTTCATCAATCTTACCTTTGAAGATTTCCCTTGTGATTTTCTTCTTCCTATAAAGAAGAAATAACTTTGAATCATTTAGTTTTGGTTGTCTAGAAGACTTGAATGTGCTTAGGTGATTTGTTTGCTCTGCTCCCCTGGGAAAATACCATTTAAAATGTACACTGAGGCTAAGTTCTGGTCAGGAGTGCCTGCGGCCCCCAAGTCCTTTGAAGTACAGCAGTCAAAGCAGAATCCACAGCATGATGAAGGGGTTGGAGTTTCTGTGTCCAGGGAAGAGCCCACATGGGCAAGAAAAAACGGCTATAAAGTTTGTCATGGAGGAAGTGGCTCTTCTGTGCTTCCTCAAAGGACCTCATTACATGAATTTCAAAAATGGCTCTTATAATGACCTGAGTAAGTCTGAGTATGCTTGTGTATGTATGTGTGTATATGAGAGAGAAAGAGAAAGATGGAGGATGATAGAGTAAGTTAGGAGACTGATGTCCCTTGGTCTAAAGAGAACAAGATAAATAAGGTTGTCTAGTAAGAAAACACCCTTGACTGGTTTTGAGGAAGCAAGCCTTGGAAACATATTTTTGGGACAGTAAATAGCAAGGGGTGTACCTCCTCTTCATGAGCATGCCCTCATCTTTGCCAAGCAGATGAATATGGCAGTCCCAGACACTAGAGCTGGAACAAGGACACAGGCTCAACAGTGGTCCCAAATTCTCTCTACTGTGAAATTAGACCATAGGAGATTGCCAAGTAGATCAAACAAGGTGGAATCAGTGACAAATAACTGAGAATGAGACACCTGATGTCACTGACATGTAATTGAAGTACAATTTCCCTGTAATTCAACATTATTTGACATGAACTCTTCCAAGCCTAAAGTGTTTGGGAGACCAAACGACAGGTGCAGGCATTGTTAAATTGATTCACAGGTAATAATTCTTAGACAAAAATGTTAAAACTAGAAAAGTCCATAGCTTGAGGCTCACCCATTTGGTAATCTGTGTTATGTAAGGTTTCTAAGTGTTGGGTTGTTTTGCCCTTTGTCCAGAATAGGATATTTATAATATGTCATTGTTTAGTGATTTTTGCTACTTACAAATTTTAGGAAATTTCCCTAAGACAGAATGTTTTGGGTTATTAGGTTTCTAGAATCAGAAGACTGTACGATGTTTTCAAGAAAAGCTGAACATATATACTTTCCAGAATTATTTACCTCCTGTTTTGTTGGACACCCTTATTTGTAAGACTTACCTTTTATATAGAATACAAATTCAGTATCTCTAAACCCAAAACAAGGTGACCACAGAGCAAGATAGAAGTTTAGGGTTGGGGCCACCAAGCAAAACCCTTAGTATCACGACAATTCCATTTTTATTCAATTCAGAGGCTGCCATATGCAAAAGCCACTGGAGCCTGCCAGGAGGGAATCTGACAGATGCAGGCAGGGTGTAATGACAGCTTCCTCATTCTGCAGTAGTTAACTAGAATGGACAAAATGCAGGCTGACCTCAGGGAGGCAGTTCCTGAACTCCCTCTCGGGTCTGCGGGGCGGCTGCTCCTCTGGCTCATCGTCCAGGGACAAGGCGTCCAAGTAGAGGTTCTCACTGGCCGAGCACCTGTCTGACTCCTTTAGCTTGGACAATGGCCGGTCTTCAAATGGGATGGAGTCAGTGTCTGCGCAGGGCCACACTGCCACGGGACGGGGCATGTGAAGGCTTCCCTGGTGGGGAAAGGCGCGAACGTTGCCGTCTTTCGGATCACAGAGGAAATTCCCACCTCTCTGGGGACTGTTCTCTTTCTGCAACTTGAGAGTTTTAAAAATGAAAATAATTAGTCTCACTTTTCTGTCAGAGAGTCTCCCTAAGACCATTTTTTTTCCTCCACAGTTTGGAATTACATATGGATCCATTTGAAGGACTTTGTGAGAAGCAAATGTTCTTAAATTTCTGACCTGAATTTCAAAATGTGACACAACATTACAAATGTTTTAAGAAAATTCACAATTTTACCTGAACTAGAAAATCTGCATTAACCACACACAAGTATGATGCCAATATAGATGTTATTCTATGTAACTTTGAGTGTTGTGCTTATGAGAAATTATACGTTTATTTATTCCACATTTATTTATTTAAGAACCTAATATTGTTAAACAGTGTTTAAAACTCTCTTGAAATCATCATCAGAACCTAAGGCATACTCAATGGAAAACCATCAGTGACAGCAAACTTCTGTGGGTGAATTTGATTTCCTTAACTAGCCGCAGGTCATTTGGAACAGTCCTATAAATAATCTGAATGATCAAACTGGGCTATAAACATTTGGTGTTATAAACTTTGGGATTATTAAAACTTAGTTGTAAAGGGAAGTAAAAATCTGGTATCACTGGGGGGGGGGGGCAGGGAAGCCATATTCATAAACAGCATACGCTTTTTGCCTGACTTGGTAAACTCAAGAAGCAGTAGTGGGAAAACATAGGACCACTTGGAGTTAGAGTCCTGAATTGGAACCACTGATTTGTAGCTTCCCGTTTGTGGGCAAGGACAAGTTCCTGACTCTTCCTCAGCTCAGTTTTATCATCTGTAAAATGGGAACAAGCACACAGGGGCCAGCAAGCAACATGCCAACTAGCAGGGGCCTGGCCCACATGAAGTTCATGGGCCTAGGGCATGCACATAATGACTTTCCTGTCCTTTTTACAGCACTAGAAGGAGATCTTGTGGAAGTGGCTCAGGAAGGGAGCCTATGTGAAATTATAGGGAACTAGTGAGGCATGCGGGCAAATGGCCTGCTGGGCATTCGCTTGCACTCCCCAGAGAAACCCGCACAGGCTTCCTCTCTGTTCTCCTGCTCTTTTCTCCTGGGCTCCTGGGCCTCCCTTTCAAAACAGGTGCAGGAAGCACAATTGAGACCTGAAGCTATTTCCACCTAGGAATCTTTAATGGGGTCTTTATTAGATAACAAGCTCACATTACTGGTTTGACTGCTCTTTTGAGTAAGTAAATTATCTGAATGATAAAAGTGACATTTAGATTTGACCTGAAGGAGTGGCCAAATAAAGATTTAAAGTTCTCAAGTGCTAAGATGGTGCCAGAAAATTCTAAAACTTCCTGGAATGCTGATCAATTGACTTTTTAAAAAAGCACTGGCAACCCCTTCAGGTCTCCCTTCACTGTGGGAGCTTTCCTGTCCTCTCAATAAATTCTGCTTTCAAAAAAACCCAAAAAACATCACTGCAGTCTGCATCTTTGTGTCCCAATTTGAGCCTTCATCCACAAGTTGGATGGAAGTATGGCTTGTGTGTAGTCAGTAAGAAAGCCATGTGAGATAATGAGGACAAAAGGATTTTCACCCATTTTTAGTAATTTCTGAGGTGGTGGAACAGAAGTCTCTGAGAATCATCTCTATCTTATGAGAAAAACAGAAACTCAAGCAGCCAGAGTTTAAATGTTAGAGTTTGAGGCTGTTCCTAACCAATTAGGGAACCAACAATCCACTCTAGTTTTTAGCTCAGCCCCTCAGCTCTCTCTTCCCCCTCCTGATGACACAGTTCTTTGCAGGTCTCTCTTTCTTTTTTTAAAAAAAGAAAATATAGTTTATTTAGAAAGTAAATTGGAGAGAAAGAGGGGGTTCACCTCCCCAAGGGAGGGGAGGGGACCAAAGCTTAAGAAAACATGACCTGGTCATAGCTAAAAGAGCACATGGCCACACCATAGCTTAGCAAGGCAATGGCCCTTTGCAGATCTCTTAAAGATGCTAAATACTTTCTTTAAAAAATAAAAAGGGAGGCTTTTTATATGTTCATTTAGCGCATGCTGGCACAATTTAGTTTCAACACATGATCATCTCCAAGCTATTTTGGGCAAGGAATTAAAATGCAAGAATCTCATTTGAAGCTGTAAATGATGTGCACTGAGGGTGTGAGTGAAGAAGGAAAAAGAATGACTAAAGAAGACAGCTATGAACAAGCGCGTTCTTACTCAATAAAGTGGGATTTCAAAAATAAACCCAGGCAGCCTGGAGCAACTTGCACTAAAGCTGGTGTCAGCTTTCCTAAAAATGAACCAGAGTGGTTGTAGCTGAGATATCTGCTGCTAAGATGCCTCTGGGGTGTTGTAATAGAACGGGTCCTTAAAAGGTAGGGCTTCCTTGGGGAATCATTTCTTTCTTGTGTTTTTTTTTTTTTTTTTTTGAGTTGGAGTCTCACTCTGTCGCCCATACTGGAGTGCAGTGGCACACTCCCGGCCACCATAGCCTTGACCTGCTGGGCTCCAGCGATCCTTCCGCCTCAGCCTTCCACACCCGGCTAATTTTTGATTTATTGTAGAGATGTGGTCTCGCCAAGTTGCCCGGGCGGGTCTAAAACCCACGGGCTTAGGCAATCCATCTGCCTCAGTCTCCCAAAGTGCTGGGATTACAGGCTGAGCCATCGAGCCCAGCTGGGGTGTCATTTCTTCATTTCTAACCAGCACAAGCACCCACTACACTAGCACTTTTGCAGCGGAACAACTTTTAATGCAAATTGAAAATTTTAAAGATCTGCATTTCAAATAATATAGGAAACAATAAACTCTCAAAAGTATCACCTTACCCAGACTGGGCAAAAAAAAAAAAAAAAAGGCCACTTTGTAAACAGGTTTTAAAAGAATGGCCTTTTATGTTGCAAAGGTATCTGATTTAAGAAAGTTACTGGAGGAAGAATGAATGGATGGCACATTTTAGCCCTGTAATCACAACAAATACAGAAGAAAGTGCTACCATTATCTGCATGTTAACTAGGAACTTAACAATTCTAAGGAAAGATGTAGTGTGACCCTATAAATGTTTACTGTACCTCAATCAAGCTTGAACTGAGACATAAGAGATGCTAATAAGACAGATGAAATATGTTATATGGCCATAGCCACATTCCACAGTCATGCATCACACAAAATGCCTCATGTGGTATAGAAATGATGTAGGAATTTTTTTTTTTAGTTGGAGTCTCACTCTGTCACCCAGCCTCGACCTGCTGGGCTCCGGCGATCCTTCCACCTCAGCTTTCCAAGTAGCTGGAACTACAGGTGCGCGCTACCACGCCCGGCTAATTTTTTGATTTATTGTAGAGATGAGGTCTTGCCAAGTTGCCCAGGCGGGTCTCGAACCCGCGGGCTCAGGCAATCCACTCACCTTAGCCTCCCAAAGTGCGGGATTACAGGCTGAGCCACCCAGCCCGGCTTGATGTAGGAATTTAATGACATCGGGCAAGCATGAAGCATGTGTTCTGAAAGTTGAAAATGGATTTAGTGTTACTTCTTTCATTGTCTATATTAGGTTATCATAGTCAAGGCTATATGGCTTACCAAGTAGTCAAATGTCGAGAGTATACATTGTGAAGAATTTCAGTTACATCTCTTGTTTATCTATGGAATATGTAGCTAAAAGTTAAATGAATGAGTAACCCAATAATTGAGAAACAAAATTTACATATACCCATACACACCTGAGCCAATTTCTTCTTTTCAGAAATTTTAGAGAATGCCTGTAACTGCTTTACCTAATTTTCAAGACTGGGAAGTGAGATTTATAAAAATCTTTAAAAATGTTGAATATTGTGGAGGAAGGGCCAGATTTATGTTTGAAAGCCATAATTGCATGTCTAAAGTATCAGTAACCAATCCTCTTCTAAAAACAGCAGTGAAATCATTGTACAAAAACCACACTCCACCATGCAGATTTCAGAATGGATGAATGCCTAAAATGCATGTGTTTCAGATCCATGATCCGCAAAGATGTCAACCTTAGGAACTGAGGTTCTGAGGCTGTCAGTTTGGTACAGTTGACTCAACACTGACAATCTGGAGTTCAGCTCCAACCACTGATGCATATCCAAAATAAAGACTTAAAATGAGGTGACGGCTCATCTTTAGGTCACTGACTTTTCAGAAGTTGAGTATCACTGGATATGTCTCATTAATTTTTCCTTTACTAGAAATTCCTTATCCCCAAAATAAAAACCTAAAAGATTTACTTAACTTATATCTAAAGTGTGACTCAAAAACAAATGAAGCTTGTGACAAGACCAACAGGCCACTATGGCTAATAGGCAAAGGGGACCCTAAAAGGGCCATGACAGGGATCATGATGGCCTCATTGGTGTATGAAAGGGACTTACAAAGTAAGTGATCCTGGAGTGAAGGCCAAGAAGGAGGCTTCCTGGCAACTAGTTGCCTGGAGTTGCTGTGACACTGGTCAGCAAAGTTGGATATGATAAATTCGTGACCATTTTTGTCAGAACACATGCTACGTCTACCCCTAAAATTTCCACCTAGCAACAGACCCATTCAATAGAGCACAGACACACAGGGGGGTAATGCAAGTACTGCATTTCTAAGCCAAAGCAGGAAATGGCCAACTTTCCCCTTGGTAGGATTTGGGGAATTCTGAAATGGAGCTATACCAAAGATCGTAAGCTGACTCATTTGTGAGTGATCAAACCTCAGGAGAGCTTCATCTTCTTTCTTTTTGTAGCATACTTACTGCTTCTCAATGGTTTCTAAGTCAAAAGCTCCTGGTCTTTTTTGTTTTGACCATGTAGTTCATTCTCCCTTCCTTCTTATCCAATATTAGCTTAAATGTACCTCTGTCATTGTACCTGTATAAAACAGGTGCCACAATCTGTGGACAGATAATGGAGTGCATTATATTTTTTTGAGTTGGAGTCACTCTGTCACCCAGGCTGGAGTGCAGTGGCATGCTCACAGCCACCACAGCTTTGACCTGCTGGATTCAGGCAATCCTTCCTCCTCAGGCTTCCAAGTAGCTGGAGCTATAGATGTGTGCTGCCACACCTGGCTTATTTTTTTAAATTTATTGTAGAGATGAGATCTCACCAAGTTACTCAGGCTGGTCTCAAACGCCTGAGCTCCAATAATCCTCTCGCCTTGGCCTTCCAAAGTGCTAGGATTACAGGCTTGAGCTACTGTACCCAGCCTAAGCACATTTTTCAAGAGACTCCCACATAAGTGCGAGGCAGTATGGGTAGTTAAAATAAATTGAGGTTTTTTTTCTGAACTCAGTTTCTTTTTTTTTTTTGAGTTGGAGTCTCACTCTGTCGCCCAGACTGGAGTGCAGTGGCCGCTCCTGGCCACCGCAACCTTGACCTGCCGGGCTCCGGTGATCCTTCCGCCTCAGCCTTCCAAGTAGCCGGAATTACAGGCATGCGCTACCACGCCCGGCTGATTTTTTGATTTATTGTAGAGATGAGGTCTCGCTGCCCAGGCGGGTCTCGAACCCGCGGGCTCAGGCAATCCACTCACCTCAGCCTCCCAAAGGCGCGGGATTACAGGCTGAGCCACCGAGCCCGGCTTTCAGTTTCTTATTGATTAATACATTTCCTTGAGGCCTCGTGAAAGTATAAGTGAAATAAACAAAACGTATGCTATGTAAAAATCTAGCCAGGGAGGAATTTCAAATCTTCATCAGCTTAATTTGTACATCACTTAGGAACTACTACAACCATGCAAACTGTTCTAAGTCTGATGTAATGCACAGAATGGTTATCTGGGAGTCAGAAAAACACCCCTCCCCCCAAAGTCATCTAATGTTTGTTTAGCTGAAGATGAAGAGCTACCTCCCTTGACTATGACCCTATCTAATCATAACTCAGCAATATTCACAGCAGGTACAATTGTCAGCAAAGAGCCTGACTTCCAACTTAATTCAGCAATTTCTTTTCTAATGACAATTCCATTCAAGCTGGAGCAGTCACTGTAACCACTTCTTTTTTTAGTGGCAAATTTAAAAGTTAGTTTGCTCTTGGTAGAAATCACTGAAAAAGACCTGAAAGAACCTCCCCTTTCTTTAGTCTTTAACTTTTTAAAAGTTACCCCCCTCACAACCTCCTTCCCACATACACAAATAAAAAAGTTGACTACACACTTTGCAATGGAAAGTTCTGTGTAGATCCTAGGACTCCAACACTAACAATTCTTGTATTTCTCCCTCTTCCTCTGGAAGCCCATGAAATAACTTGATGCATCAAGGACCACCAAGTAGCCTGATTTTTTTTTTTTCCTCTCTAAATGCTCTTGCTTTCCAGATCTATTTAGCAGTCTACATTCTCTGCCGGTGCTCTATTGCCTGTGGTGCTTCCTTACCTGCTCTATCCTCCGTAAGAGTTCCTTCTTCTGCCGCTCCCACTCCTGCCTATCTCTGTCCAGGCGGTCGAGAAGTTCCACCTTCTCCCGGTTCCAGTTCTTCTCACTGTGATGGATCTGCCAGCGCAGGTCCATGACCAGGCTGTGACTGTCAGCCAGGAGCTTCTGGTGCACCTCTCTCTCCTTCTTCAGGGCCCCTTTGCTCTCAGCAGAGGAGCCTAGTTCTCCCAAGTTGTTCTCAGTCTTCTCTTCCAGCTGTCAAGGAGAAAATACTTAGGAATGTCCTCCCTGACAAGTCTTGGATTTGAGGATGAGAAAAATCTCAGCACATTTACATATTACCCCTGGAAACCTGTTTAAACCAAGATTTGACCAACCCTATAGATGAAAAAAATGCATTTTTAAAGTTCCAATTAAGAATATTTGATGGGCAACCCCTAACACTAACCCCTTTGGGTCCTCTCCCACTGTGGGAGCTTTTCTGTCCTCTTAATAAATCCCGCTTTTAACAACAACAACAACAAAAAGAACACTTGACACAGATAGTCACATAGAGTGTTAGCAGTGAGTCCACTTAGCTTTCCAGGGCCGGCTTCTCAGTTCCACTTTCCTAGTCTAAGTCACCATCATCTCTTGCCTGTACTTCTGTATTGTACCTTGAGAGCAGGTACCATGTCTATCCTGATACCCCTAGCCCCTGTGTAGAACCTAGTGATGGGACACCAATGGAGCCTAATAGTTTTCAATAAATATTTGTCAAACACCCAGGAGGTTAAATATAAAAAAAAAATCTTATATCTTATATATTCAAACTGGTGAAAATCAAAGAGGAAATCTTGAAGTAGACAAAGAAAAACAACAAATAGGAGACAGAGATATAAAGATGAGAATTAACAGAAGACTTCTCATCAGAAACTGCAAATTAGAGGATGATGGAATGGCATCTTAAGTGCTGAAAGAAAAAGATGTAAACCTAGGCGTAATTCTATACCCAGCAACAATATCTTTCAAAAATGAAGGAAAATTTTTTTCAACAAACAAAAATTGAAAAAAATCATTGCCAACCTACAGAATGGGAGAATGTATTTTCAAACCATATATTTGACAAAAATCTTATATCCAGAATCCAAAAAAATCTCAAATCAGCAAGAAAAAAAAAGTGAGCAAAGTACACAAACAGACATCTCTCAAACGAGGATATACAAATGACCAACAAAAAATATGAAAAAATGCTCAAAATCATTAATCATTAGGGAAATACAAATCAAAACCACAATGAGATATATCACCTTATACCAGTCAAAATGGCCATCATTAAAAAAAAAATAGATACTGAGGTGGATGCAGAGAAAAGGGAATGTTTATACACTATTGGTGGGAGTGTAAATTAGTACAACCTCTATGGAAATCAGTATAGAGATTTCTTAAAGAACTAAAAAGTATATCTACCATTTGATCCAGCAATCCCACTACTAGGTACCAACCCAAAACGGAGGTCGTTATATTAAAAAGATACCTGTACCCACATGTTCCTCACAACACAATTCACAATTGCAAAGATATGGAGTCAACCTAAATGCCTATCAACCAATCAACGGATAATGAAAATGTGGGGTGTGTGCATGTGCATGTGTGTGTGTGTGTGTGAGAGAGAGAGAGAGAGAGAGAGAGAGAAAGATTGAATACTATTCAGCTATCACAAAGAATGAAATAATGTCTTTTGCAGCAACTTGAATGGAATTGGAGTACATCATCTTAAGTGAACTAACTCAGGAACAGAAAATAAAACACTGCATGTTCTCGTTTATAAGTGGAGCTAAACCAAGAATCCACAAAGATGCAGAGAATGGTATAATGGACACTGGAGACGAAAGGGATGAAAAATCACCAGTCGGGCACAATATGCACAGATGGGGGTGGAGGGCCAGACCAAAAACTATATACTCCCTAAAGCTATTAAAACAAACAAACAAAAAAAAGGAAAAAGAAGAAAAAAAAATAATTGCCAGCAGACCCATACTTCAAGAAATGAAAAGAAAGAGGAAGTTCTTCAGGCAGAAGGAATATGATATCAACAGGCACTTTGATCTTCACAGAAAATGAACACTGGAAATTACACAGATAGAAATATAAAACTAATTTTCCCCTATTTTAATTGCTTTTTAATATCACTGGCTATCTAAAGAAAAAAAACAGTTGCTGTGTATTGTTCATAGTAATCAATGACAGCAGTAGCAGAAGATGGGAAGAAGAAATTGAGAATATACTCTTGTAAGGTCCTCAATGGCATGTGAAGCAGTATAATATGATTTCAAGGTAGACATTGACTCATTTAAAATATATATACATTGATATTATAAACCCTAGGACAAACACTAAAATTACAAAACAAGCTTGCTGCTCTCTGCCTTGTTTTTTTGTTGTTGTTGCTTTTTTTTTTGAGTTGGAGTCTCACTCTGTCGCCCAGACTGGAGTGCAGTA